TAAGATAATGAAGAAATAACAGAAAGTCATACGACGTAAAATTATTATATGCTTCATAATGATGTCGACTGCATAAATTACAAACAAGATAACGGCTAGCTATAAAGCTATAATTAAAATACATTCAGTCTATGGAGAAATACAATCACATAATGATTATACGGCCACAAAGCAGACAAAAGCCAATCGGGAATGTGTATTATATCCTTCAGTGTGGAAATGGTTGGATCAATTAAAGTGCTTCTACATCCAGTGGCGACAACACTAATGGTTCGTAGCTAATAGTGTGAACACGCATGTGAACGGCTCGTCCAAGTCGTGATCTTAGATTTCCTCTTCCTTGTACACCCACAGTAACAACTATGTAGAACAAAAAGTTTCTTCTGAAGGTACTGTACTGTGTAGGTACCTCGCAAGGCCGTGTGAACTAGTTATTTATGTTCTCGTATGGCTTCGACAAGGTTGTCTGTGGAGGGTTGTTACTACGGAGTCGCTGTTTAGATAAGACACGTGTCTAGTGCCAAAATCTTTCGAATTGTTGTTCGATTCGAACCGGGACGACAGATAGGGTTTTTACTAGAATTATGCACGGTCTAACATTTGTTCGGTCTTCAAATTGCTGACACGATATTTTATTTATTTATACATCACTGTCAGACTTTATTTATAGTAACTAAAGATATAATAAGGTAACTCAATAATTAAGGATCACTAATAGAATACTGATAAATCAAATGCTGCCTGCCTCGTTGGTCGAGTGGTCGCAAGTGCGACTACCGGGCAAAGGGTCTCGGGTTCGATTCCCGGGTCGGGCAAAGTAATAGTGGGTCTTTAAAAAAAATCTCAGTAGTAGCACGGAGTCTAGAATTGTGCCCGGTAAATGGCAATAGCCTCACCCCCTATTACATGGGACTCATAACATAATTAGTGAAAAGTGGGTGTTACTTCTGTGTGCACATCTGCCTACCCCTTCGGGGATAAAAGGCGTGATGTTATGTTATGTTGTGTTATGTTAAATCAAATGCGTACTTGAATGTTTCCAAATATCTATTCAATAACCACGCTCAATTTATTATTTGGTATTATAGCACTCACTGCAATATGCTACTACGGTATTTAATCACTTCGTTTAACAACCTACACACTTAATATACCCTAGAGTTTAATTAGTCGGTAATAAAGCCCGATCGCTTTCTATAAAATATGGAACGTTTCATCGTATTAAAATATCAAGCACTTCTCACATTAAGCCGATAGGCTTCAATGAAACGAAATTCTCATAACGAAGCCTCGTTTCATTTTAAAACATTTTAGAAGTAAATTAATATTTAGCACATGCCGCTTTTTAAATAACCATTTATTGGATACGACAATGTGCAAACACGGATAGCGCATTGTTACTTTTTCATTCACGTTTTTTTTTTGTTCCGTTTCTGCAACCACGTGCATTTTTTATGTTATAATGTGAAATGTGTCTATTTTATAAAAAGTAACAAACGAGGTTTTTGTGTTTTGAAACATTTTGCTGACATCTGCATAGTTTAGCGAGTGTGACGAATTTTCTTTACGGAATGCCTTCGCCATACAATGGCACAGCGTAGAGCCACGATGTGTAAACTAGATCAGAGCCCATCTGCCGAGAATGCGAGATAGTGGAGTAGAGTACCCTATCTGTTCCGCCGGTGCTAGGTTTTCACAAAGGGACTATTCTCGGTAATTCCATTGAATATCATCGGCGATGCGATGCACGGAGCCATGGACCCCGTACACGTGTAATCGGTAAATCGATGCCTACTTTGTTGTTGTAGTTTGCTGTGTGGGTAAAGTAAGTGAAACGCACTATATGAATCGGTGTTGATTATCTTTGTGTGAGTAAAGGCTTGATGGAGTTTTTGTTCAGCGTTAATAAAACATACTGTGTAATGTTAGACGGACTTGTGAAACTGTTTTTTATGTGGTTACTGGGTGATTTAAAGAGTTAACTTATTAAGTGATCATAATACAAAAACTATACATTTTTACGATCACACTTACTTTAAATATTTTTTAACTAATCTTTAATTTTATTTCAAAAACAACAACATATTAATAAGTATTTAAATTAAATAAATATAAACAACTTAAAAAAAACTTACACTTACTTAACCTTTCTCATTTATTAACTTTTATTTACTTTTTAAATCAATAATTTCCTAATTACTACTTGCAATGTAATGACCTACTAAAAGGCTAAATCTGATCTGTAACCGAAATACGAAACATTTCTACGTACAAACTGATTTGCCTGTAAGCTAGACACTACCGGGGTGTTGCAATATTGGACGTTGAATCAAATGTCAAATAGCTGGCGGCGGGGTGCGATATGTTTGAGCTAGGTGTACACTTGGAGTGCGCTGCGCCGTGCCCACAGGATGTGGGGCGGCCATGTCAGACGTCGCGATAACTGGCCAACCGCACCGCTTGCATTCAATACAACTATATGACAACTAGAAGAGACAGTGTTTGATATGGTCTCTGTGGTAATAGTATGCAGCGACATGTCCACATTGGTCAACAGATGTTTACATTCGGTTTGAGAAAAATCGTAGGCGTGTGCGTGGTTGTATTTAACAGACCTTCAACTTATGTTAGTAATCAGTATGAACATCGTTTTTCTTCTGAATTTCCAGAACTCTTCGTTATAGGTATTATGTCTGTTCACTTATTTAGGTCAATTTCTAACTTTTCTTTGTTTTTTACTGGAAATGTCATTTCCAGTGTTGCTCTTTATTCCAGTGATGATGTGGATCCATATGTCCCGACGTTATAAGGTTCATGAACTGTTCTGCTCGGCTGACTGTGCCTAGGGGCCACGGTTGTTTGCTCACAAAATTGCCATTTTTAGGGCACGCAAGGCGATCATATTGTGGCATTATTGCTTGACGTCCTGCATCGCGTCATATCACACTGCAAATACGTGATATTTGTACTACGAATACTGACGGGTTTATTTGGACAGTTCCCCCATTGAGATGTACTTTTTGATGGCAGTTGTATGATATACAGGGTATATTCAGGGTTCGGCTTAATGTATAGAGTACCTACCTACTTGCCTATTTTAGGATTAAATTCTAAACCAACTTTATATGTTAATACTTAGTAGTACTAGGTGTTCATTTAAAGCAATTCATTATTTAAGGAACTGTGAAACACTGAAGAGGAAAAACGAGATTCAGCTAAATAAATGATACGGGTGTTTTAACTAACAAGTTAATTGTGCATGTTGCTTCCACGACAAGCAAAAATCGACGGCGATCATCGCAGTTTCACCGCGATTCGTTTTACTTAATCCGTGTACAGCAAAAGTTGTTCTCTAAGCACTTAAACAAAAATTCAACAAAAGTTTTTGCAGACGCCCACTTACTCGTTCAATCAAGAAATCTCTTCGAATCTATCCCGGTTCGTCACGCATCACTGCTGAATCTTTGTTCATCGTAATTGCTCTCCGTGACGACTCATAGCCGTGTTATATGGAGAGGCTATTAAACTGTCAATGCCAGAGGGTCATAATCCAGAGTGCGTACCGCAATATGGGCAACATAAATCAGCTAATTAACCCTCCTAGCCCTTATTAACGACATAAATTTCGCGCTCCGAAGCACGCCACTCGAGACGAGATGCGGGTTAATATGCGCATAACACACTCAGCGCCATGTCTGCCGGTGGAATTATGTCACTAAATGTTGGAGGCCTAATGTGGCTTAAGTACAAGACAATGTTAATCTGCGTTGTCCTTACAGTTACTGCGTAACTCGATGTTATCTCGAAACCGTGAGACAATCGTGTGCATAATAGTTGACTTTATGAGTGTTCCGTCCTTTGCTAATACGACGGAACAGATTTATTATCTCACAGACCAAAATATATGACATAACGGCTAACGTATTCATGTTGATAATGGTAGAGTAGATTAATTATGATGAAAGCGCATGTCATATCAAAGCCGTAACTATATTTTCCGACGCACATAAAGGTTTTAAAAGTGATAAAACTCCGAACATAATTACAGTACTATAAAGCGCGTATTCCCGTATCGCGTGGCGAGGGCTATTACATCGGGCATAAACTAGTGAGTCATCTCTTCCCCGCTTATCGAACCGATCTCCGGCACACATGGCGTCATTCGATGCACTTTATTGTATTGCTGTGTTACAACCCATCTCATCTGGCACGCGAACTTTTTCATTTCATCCCACTACTGCGATGCTATCGAGCGGATAAACGACTTCGATAGGAAAATGAGCTCGAAACCTACTACAATTTATTATAATACATCCGTAAGCTTCAATAAAAACTCGAGTGCTGTGAAAGGTCTTATCCAGTGAAGTAGAAATGGAAAACGTGTTTTTCATCGAACTCAGCAGCGAGGTCGGCGATGACTAGTCAAATTAAAAAAAACAGAAGAGAACCGAGCGAGCAACGGAATGAATGTTATTGTACTTACCAATAGTAATTTATCAAAATGTCCGTCCCGCCCGACAACTATCGCACCGCTGCTTTATACGAAATTTAACCAATGAGAATGTTCCAGTCCTATTGCTTTTGTACTTGAGATACTTACGGATCTCTTAGGATCACTGCACTGGAAACATAAAATGGTTTGCCTTTGACAGCTCGGCTTTCCATTCTTAAGTAAGTCAAATCTCGCCGACTGAATACTAATGTTGGCTTTTCGTGGGCTTCTGTTGGCCCCGATTGTTTTTGTTTAATAGAAATTAATGCCTATTCGACGGATCAATAGAATTACAAATAGTGAATGTGTGAATGGGTTCAAAAGTTCGTTTGTGAAACGTGACAGAGATAAAAGTGAACTTTTATCTGTCTGTGCGGCGCTATTAGCTGTTAACATTATAAGAACCCTCTTCCTTTAGGGGTCAGACGATGTAGGGTCGACAAACTCGTGTGCATTCAGCCGTGATCGCTCTCAATGACGCTCGTTAATATGAACGTACGCACAAAAGATGGATTTAGAGTTGATGCGAAGTCATAATGTGTCTATGTATGTACGGATCAAAAGTATTTCCATAAGCAAATTAAGTAGACGCTTAGACAGCAGAGCACGATTGTGGGGGAAGAGTTCTGAATTAATTTATGTCGTCACGTCACTGGGTGTGCCTTTTGAAAAATAAAAAAGTACGTAGTGGTGTGGAAAATGTCAGAAAACATAAAAAGTCCATTAGCGTATGAAGGGCCGTGTTCAACCTAGCCCTAATTAGTGAAGAGCCCGCATTTAGCGAACTCGAGTGCAATTTACATACCTAACTGCCCTGACCGCTGACAGCCTGAATGGAAAAAACGACATTAGTGAAAAATATGAAGAATTTCCACTTTAAATTTTGGAACTAACTACGAATAGGAAACATAATTATCATTAGTAACGTGAATGTCGAGAAATTAGGTATAAGTAGGTAACTACGAATAATTGAAACAAGCATATTTTCAGTTTTAAAATGAAAAGCTTAACCTAATTCGAGGTCCTAAATAGTGAGTGGAGTCAGTGGTATAATGGTTTTAAGTCAGTAAGCCTCATATCACGTGAGAACACTGTTACTGCATGCATAATGCTACACGACGCGAGGCAGTTGCTACGTTTACGACAACCCGTGCAATTTAGTGATGTGGTGGTTAATGAGAAAATAACTGTTCTTTATTAAACCTTTTTTAAAAAGAATATGTTTACTTGGGTTCATTCTTAATTTGGTATATTTGATTAGATTTTATTTATACTTACATGCTTCATCATCACTGTGTGTTAAGAAAATCTTGGCAATGTTAAAGTTTAAGACAAAAAAAAAATAGTGAAACAAATTATAATAACTTCTTAACCAAACGGTTTTATTATTGTCAATAAGCGAATGGTTCAGTAATAATAATCAAATTAAAGAAAACATCGGAATTTGAACAGAAAACATGATGGAAAAATTAGGTGATTTCCTCAAATCAGTCTCTCTCTAGATACACTGAAGCATTTTCAAATGCGAACCAACCTCAAAAAGATATAAAGAAACGCTTGCACAACACTACGCATAATAAAAGCAGTGCCTACGGTACAGCAACGTTCCGACGCTGCGTTAACTAGAAGATAAAGGCTGCACAAACGTTGAATGAGCAATAATAGGGTTATTTAGAAGCCGCCACGGCACACAGCTCGTGTAGCCGAGCGAACAATATCACTCTAGAAGTACCACACCCTGTATAGCCATGGACTGTTTGCATAAAACAACGCTCGTCTTTTTTGTCTTTATTTCACTTTTTAAGAATTTAATTAAATTTGTCTCTTTTTTATTTCTTCTACGTCTAATGGCGACATTAGATATTCAGTTGGTAAATACTAAACTACAACATTGCGCGTTTACTCCGTGACAAAAAAAACACTTTTCATAATCAATTGATAAAAACAAAGTAAATTGACAACACGGTTAGTGTGGTGGCTGGGCAACCGGCTGCCACCAAACGTGTCGTGGGTTCGATTCCCGCACCGAACAACTCTGTGTGAATGCACCCACGATACAGGAGAAAAACCAAGTGTTTAAAAAAATACTACCTACTTCCTGAGAAAAATCTTATATTTTTCACACGTACCTACTTACATACTTACACATGCAAATTATAAAATTTTCACAGAAAAATGATCATCATCATGTTATTAAACATTAAACAATATTTTTTCTAATTCATACTATAAATGTAGCCCCAAGAAAGACATTAAGGGAAGCCGGCGTTTTAATATACGCTCACCCACAGTAAAGTTCCAACGTCAAGATTTCGTCACTACCTCACTTTTCAAAGTCCACGACGCCGATGCCATAAAACGGGAAATGTATTTTCTTAGCGAATGTTTTCAACTTTATACCAACATTATTTTAATAACATAGTTAAATTTTTTCAAAGATTAAATGTCACCTTGCCTCCAAGCCATTACGAAAAACCAAGTTTCCCCGTAATTAATTTTTATGGCGACCGCAATGCATGCTAAAAACACTTTTCTCCATAAGAATTATACCTCAGCTGCCCTGATTTTGTAACTTTTTAGCTGAAATAAACGAAAAACTCATAAAAAAGGGTCTGAATATGCAGGGCGCTATTTAATGTGACTTTTTGCAGTACCTACATAAAATATAAATGAGCGGTTTTGTTGTACGTAAAAAGTTTTATATGACCCAATGTGGGGTCTCGCATTATGGAGATATCATTATAATGCTATTGTCTGTCACCTCGTGTAATTATAACTTTCTAATGTGTATTTACAAAACAAAATCACAAAAAATTTTGTTTTACCTTGTAACCTAGGCTTTGTGCTTGATTTTTTCTTATAATTGTCACTCAAGCACGTAATTACTATACTTAGATTCAATCGCATATTTATATCTATTACTTTTTTCTTTGCAGATCAGGCAGAGGCGCAGCGTATGCCTGTTCAGAGGGTGAAGGCAACGCACCCAAGTCATGTTGTGGCCGGCCGCCTCTACGGCTGTGTGTGCTGTTCCTCGGCGTGGTAGGAGCCTGCTTGGTCGCCGCTGGAGCGGTCCTCGGTGCTCTCAGGCCTCATCCAAGAGCCCCACTCACTTTACTTCTACTCATGATAGGTAAGTTTGATTTACTCTTAAATAGTTTTGTGCCTTTTTCCCCAGTTCTTAATAGGTTTAAAAGACACAAAACTCAGAGCTACAAAATTTACAAAATACTAAAACGGCAACATCCTATTAGCCACTTAAAAGAACTTATAGTTTGTATCCGTCCGTTCGCTCTCCATGGATAAAAGTAATATTACCTATGTATTTAAATAGTTTCATATTCAAAATATTGAGCTGAAATGACATAGTGGCATGGAAATTGTCTTTTTCGCAAAAAAAAAAACTGCACTGTTGTATTTGCTGATTCGAAGGAAATCCTTTATATTCAGTCTATGATCGTTTAACAGTTCGCAACCCATTTCATAGTGAATCTTTGTTTTTTTTTCTTCATAGCTGATTAAAATTATCCGGTCCGATGAGCGAGCCGAGCGATCGAAAGCAGCAGAGAACTGAGATTCATACCGACAGATCTACATTATTTTTTATGTCCACGTTCTAATATTCATAAATATGACTGAAACGGTTTCACACGGCCGAAATAACTGACGTAATTAACCATGAAACAATCTGCGGTTGCTCATTTGTTATTCGCTATGCATATGACAATAACAAGTCGGGCCGAAATTTCATTACATCATTCACATCGCCGTTGGAGTTTTCAATTAAACTTCTAATGAGTTTTAGAGTGGAATTAATTGGATTTTCATTAGCGTTAGGGACAGATGATATTGTTACAGGGAACCGATCTATTGTTGTGCCGACGAGCAATTTGTCCGCGTCACTCAACGCGATCCGCGAACTTCGCGTCTGCACTGTGTCTGCGTTAGTTGGTTATCGGTTGCGTTTATTAATTAATCACTTTACTTATATTTTTTAAAGAGCAGACGTAGAAATAATGCCGAGGTTTTATTTGATAAGACTTTATACTATTAATTAATTTAATATTATATATTAAAATTATTTTAATCGAGTCATAACATATTTTTAGCTGTAGAAAAAGAATGAATGTTTTACCCTCTTATCATCTCATGCTCTCTCTCATTATTTAATTCTATTTTCATTATTTATGAATTGAATCTAATTTGATGAATTTTGAACCACATGGAAAACCTCTAGGGTCTTGTTACATACTTATTCAATCGTCAACCGAAACTTTTAGTTTAAAGACGCATTAGGTACATTTTTACCTACGTTTTTAGTTCATATATTTGTGTAAACCCATGTTATTATTCGGTAAAATTAATGAAATTCCCCCAGTACGTACAAAGTCAGCGGCAAGCTCGGATTACACCGGAACATATTGTTCGTGATCGCGAGCACGAAAGTAATTAACAACAGTTGTTGAAGCGCCGGTTGCTGTTATTATCTGTGGCTAATTTCTGACAGATATAATATCTATCATAATATCCAACGTCATGGCGACAGATGGTGCGTTTCTATATGAATATTCCTATTGGTATACGTAATAGGTAATCATCAAAATTAGTAATGAATTTCGAATTCTTTTTGGGATATTAATTAATTTTAAATTTATTTTCAATAATTGAAATAACAATAATGTAAAAAACGGCAGCTGATCCATATGGCGCTTGTTAGTCCTCCAAATAACAAATCTATCGCGATAATGTCCTTACAGAGTTCTTTTTTAAGGGGGGAAATCCTGACTTCTCCCGCCTGTATGAGGCGGGAGTGTCAAATTCTTACTGACTAAAAACCACACCGTTCCTACTCCTGCACTTCGAGCCGGAGCCCGGTTAACCATTTAGGTACGTTCTCCTCGGCTTTATATCGGCATCAGTCCTATTGGGCCCCATCCGTGGTGGTCTGATGATTCTTTGAGGCGCGCGCGGTATACAGAATGTTTAAGAATCGATCGTAGTAATTGCAACATTGCAACAAAATTATTATCCTCTTTTTAATTCCCACACTAGCACAATACCTATTAAACCTAAAATATCTGATCATGTCAAGGATTTAATCCTAAAACAATTGGCATTTAGGAAGCAGATGTTAATTCCTGTTTGCGAATTGTATAATAGTTCCCATCTTTATAAAATAACCACTTATGTTTATAAACATGTAACCGGAAAGTATAAAAAACTCAGTCAACCCTTTGAGAATAAAAACATAAGTTTACATAACTATGTCCGATATTATATGCAGTAGGTAATTATAGTGACGGCAAATGTATTTAACACTAGCTTTTACCCGCGGCTTCGTTTGCGTCACAAAAGGATAAAAAGTAGCCTATGTGACATATACCAATACATACAGCGCCATCTATACCAATACTTCTGTTTTCCTTCGGGAATATCAATTTTTTTCGGGATAAAAAGTACCTTATTATTTAATCCAGACTACTAACTTTACGTCTGCAAAAATTCAATGCAATCGGTTTAGTAGTTACGGCGTGAAGTCGGAACAAACAAACAAACTCACTTTCCGATTTATAATATTAGTAAGGATTTGTCACCACCTCTTCTTTCTGTAGGTGTCGTAATAACCAAGAGACTACAGATTCTACTAGACTGCGCGGCAGCACTCTCTAATAAATCAGCTATGTCCTCCAAAACTTCAGCTAAAGAATGGAGATTATCTCTATGGAGACTATCATAAGTACTACCCACAGTCCAGCAAAAGCCTGGCACAGAATGTTAATGATGATCTATGGTATCCTCTAAAATTGTCATCCTGACACAGAAAGCTTTTTAAAACAGACTGCATGTGACAGATGACAATGATACAAAACGTATTCACTATACTAATGTGTCTCTCTAATCGTACACAACAGAATTACGCAACAGTCAGAGCTACTTTTCAAACCCAGATATTTAACCTGATTACATCTCTATACATGTTACATAACTGGTATGCAATTTTCAACCTAAAGGTCAAGTCGTTAAGTCTAGATTCTAGATGAATTAATTTTGATGTCAATACGGTAGTAGGTATATGCCATGTTATATCAGTGGGCGAAACTAATTATGATGTGCAAGCAAATACATACCTGCTCAATACGATTGACAGATAGTCAATGTAGAAAAGTAGTAAAACTGACTGTTACACACACATCCTCAAAATGATTAAAGAATCACCGGAATCTCGCACACCAGTTCAACTCTCATACTTTATTACACACACCTTTACATGAAACATGAAACTAATGATTGCTTTTCTTTCCAGGTATAGGAGTAGTCTTAGTGACGGCGGCTGGACTAGCGTGGAGACTAGGTGCACGAGACGCTCCTTGTGCGTTGCTAGGGCTGCGCCGCGCCTCATGCCGGCGGCTCGTGCCTCGCCTGCCTCCGAGCTACGCACGACCACATCACCCTTACGCAGCCATGCTTTATCCAGAGTTCCACTACAGGCCGCCACCTCCCACCTATCAAGCCTCAATGCAAGAATACAGACTCAGGTTCGTATTTAACAACAAAAAAATGAATTCTCATCCAGGTCCCCAAGACTTGGGTCTTCTATTCTCCCAAATACTAGGTATGTATAAAATCTCCTTTTAATTTCATAGTAACGAGGCTTGGTGTCCTAGAAGGCCAAATAGAAGAAACTTTGAGGGCAGTCCTAGCTCCGCTATAAGACCTGTAAGCTGTCAGGCCTCAATGCAAGAATATAGATTTAGGTTTGTAGTATTTTTCTTCCCTTTTGGAAAATTGGTGTCCTGTGGGTTTGGAGGAGCTAAGGGTTCGGCTAAGTTAACCTGGGATGTCGGGATTTATTGCTATACATAAATTTACTTTAGCATCGTGACCTTTGTATCCGCGACGACGAGATTTAAGTTATTCTTTTAGGTACATTTGCCCTTAAACATTTGTATCCTAAGTCGTTACACGTGTCTTGCTTCTTGGAGCATATCAAGTATCTAATTTTAACTTTTATCCAAGTTTATAACAGAATATTAAGGTAATGTAAGTTGGCATCAAAACAGAAAGCTCTTATTAAAAGCTTTATCTACAGTGACAAAAATACACTCCCACTTACTTTGGTAAAACCTAATTTTATTTTATTTATAGTATCGCGTGACTTTCGCGACAAACGGCTCTGTTGACAGAGTTATTAATATTTGTTAAAAATACTTTTAATCGGAACGTGTACTGTAAATTAGGCAAACGTCGTTTATTGCGTTTAAAAATCGCAATCCATTACTCTTTATCACTTATACGCTTACTAACAACGCGAAACAAACAAATAACCAGGTATAACGTACAATGAACGCATTTCTTTGAAAATAACATTTGTTTTTAATTCCAGGTTACTTCTGTTAGACAGAAGTGCGCCCGCCGTGTCGCCTCCACCAACATACAGATCAAATTCAGCCAGTCTAGTCAGGTACGAACAAAGTCAATACAATTGCAATCTGAAACCTATCGCCCGATTGTTTCGTCTTCAAAATAGCTTTCCTTATTGGAACGAAAATATTCGATCTGTTATCAAATACCGCTCGAATGTTGACGGGAAAATACATTGTGGTACATTCATTTTAGAATGGTTTCCATCTTAAACGAATGTGCTGTTGTTTACTCATATACATAATACGCTGTTTAATACAAAATCGCGCTAGATGTTCGTGGTTAGTACTTCTACACTTTGGGGAATAAGGGGCAATCCTATTTACATTGGGATGAGAAAACAACTTGCACGATGTATTTACAATTCTAAACACTTACAGCTTAGTTACCTACATATGTAAAACATTAGAACTAGAAACCAGTGTTGCTTTGAATATTAAATTAATTAGTAAAGCTTGGGTGAAAATCCAAATATGTAGTGTAGAACTGAAACAAGAATTAATATATTATAACCCCTACTAGGTCCCTATACGTGAGCAGAATCCGATGTTATATCTAAATATTGCTTTGTATTTCCCAGCAGAGGATCAACTGGCGCAGCGTGGTGCGGCTCTGAGTACAGCGGGCCGCCATCGTACCGCGCCCCCCGCGCAGACCCGCCTGTCACCGTCACCGACAACCTGCCCACCATCACCCCCATAGACCTCAAATACGTTGACAACACCATCGAAGCATTACCCAAACCCGAACAAGAGAAAGATCCCGACGAACATCTCGTCACTATAGTACACACAGACTCGCAGCCCGTCATAGTAACCGTGTCTGGGTCCCCCGCACTCAATGACACACACACACAACCGCCTTCAGAAATCGACATACTAGCACACTTATAACGCATCAAGCATTAGCCAATACACGAACTTTACGTTCTAGTAGGAATAAACTAGACAAACCCGATCTGAGTGCGGCTGCACTGACATTCCTGATTGGGAGTTGTGTGCGAGCGACCCGAAGGCTTGTGATTGTAGCAACGATTGACGTGATCGAAACGATGTACCTACTAGTGGACAGAAAGTAAGCGAAAAGTGATTTAATATAGAAGTGAAACTGTTGATTATTATGAACAATAATTAGCAAATGAACTTATATTATTAGCTATTATATTCGAGGCAAGATAATTTTGTTTTGAATGAATATAAAAGAACTTGCATTTCACATTACGTTCTCATCTAGCTGCACTAGATAATGAAAAGTAGACGATTTCATTTAAATAATTTATTCTCGAGATAAATGCTTCATTATACCTACTGTATAAAGATAAAGTTTTAGTGCTCATTCAAAACAAAATTGTGGTTTTTATGTTTGTGTATAACTCTTGTTTTAAAATGTAATGGTTTGAAGTACCTTATTTTATTATAATAAGTATTGTGTAAATATTTAAAAGCACTGACGTATTTTTCGTTTGAATAGTGTTATATTTAACAAAATATGTGCCGTGTATATACAATTGATACAAATTATATTAGGATTAAATATGAATACAGACGTAGTTGATGCAACGATCGATTTATTGTTGAAACCAAATCCTTCACCGAGATGTACAACTAAGGACATTGTTATTCATGTAGTGCCAATGGTTGTTTATTAGTTTTTGTTGTAAATAGATATACATAACTGTAATATTATTCTGTTCTATAAATGTTTGCTTGACAACTAACATATTTAAACACGAAGCAGATATTAACTTTCTAGCTGCCGTCTAAAATCTAGGTTCATTATCATGTGACGTCATTAAAACCTACTTTGACGTGTCCTGTATAGCTTTCTATGCACAATAACTGTTCAGAACAATACGCCAGTTCTATTGTTATAGCTCTGCATGAAACCTACCCATACAATTATGTAGGTGTCCTATAAACTCATTTCAGCTGCAATTACCCTACAATTTTATAACTTCCTTAGTTTCATTCGCTTAGTTTAATATTTGTATTTATTTTGATCGCAATATTATAAATTATTGGTACTAGAAAGCTGAATAGATCACTGTAAAAATTGATATTAGAAGTAAAAAATTAAATGTGAGGAAAATAAAATTGGTATGAAAATCATGATGATCGAGTTTGATCAATGTAAATAAAAGAGCGAATGAATAAAATTCCGTGTCATTTAAAATGGAAAAAGACACATTTTTATTAATTAACAATTGGGTGCAAATTGAACAGAACAGTGGGTTAGAAGCTGACACAGTACTGTGTAAAATACTAAAGGATAAGATATTGTAACGATAATGTATTAAACATAATGTAAATAATGTTATTTGTATTATAAGAAATAAAGATCTTTAGTGAAACCAAAATTGTGTATTATCTTAATATTTAAATTGAACAAAACCAAAACGGGTTTTGGTTGTTAAAAGTAAACAAAAAGGTAAAGTATTATAAACAGCAGACTTCTTTTAAAACAATGGCATTCATTTTAAGTAGGTCTGCCAAGAAAGAGAAGTAAATCACTCAGTATTTATTTAATTTTATTGAAAACTAGCTTTCTGCCAGCGACTTCGTACGCACAAATAGGGAATTCCCGTTTTTACCGTTCCCGTGGGAATTTAAGGAAATCCTCTCTTAGTGCTCCCCTATACTCCCCAAGGAATATACATGCCAAATTACAGCGTTTTACGACCAGTAGTTTCGGCTGTGCGTTATCTGTCAGTCAGTCAGTCACTCAGTAACCAAAGCGATTTATATATGTATAGATTGGGTTAAAAATAATACAAAATATTATAAAATGCGAAAGTTTATATAATTCAACGGTTGTTAATGACTCAATCGCCCCACAACCGCTGAATCTGGCACAGAGATTGATAGCCTTAGATAGCACAAAGGTTTTATGTTACAATAACGAATACTGCTACGGACAGAACCACAAACAGAAGTTAGTAACATCACAAACACAAAGTGAACTAGAAACATCAGCCAAGTAGCCACTGGTCTGGTGATTATCACAGCATTACATCACGACCTTTTATTATAGTAATCCAACAGAGAAAGGTTTTTAATGATGATGATCTACCATTACGTGATGACGTAATCTGTCTACTGCCTCCATAAACATAAATTACAAGGTTTTAAAAGAAATTATGTCTTGGAAATTATTCTTCTTTTAAAAGACGTTACTTGAATAGTGCAGCTGATTTGCTCTATGTAAGTGTAGAGTATAAAATTATAGTGATTATGCCATAATGTTCGTATGTGTTAGTTCGTTTGGTACTTGGTGTTCTTTTTTAGGTTTGTTACAAATGTGAATGTTAAGATGACGAGTTCATGCTCAGATATCATAAGTATGTCTAACATTAACTTAATACTTAAGTTTGTTGCCCAGAGGAGACAAAGGTTGAGCATACACACATTTTACACACCAAAAAACGCAGTACAAAAAGACATTTTTCGATAATAATATATAGGTTTCGACGTATGGTAATATCTGTTTATTTTGCGACAGGCTGCGAATAAGTTTATGGTAATTACCTAGATCTGTATTAGCATAATCGGATTTTGCGGATTTCTCAATGACAACACTGTTTGTGGAATGGAACACTTTCACTCGGCGTTACGATTTAGTTTATGGAACTGAGTCACCTCACTATTCAAGCAAAACATTAACTGTATTTTAAAAACATTGGTAGGTATTAAATGGGCATTCGATAAGTATTCGATTTAAATGCATATGTGATATGAAAAACACACGTTATAGAACGCCTTGTTTTTCGCAGTGAGATGGGTACGGATTTTCGTACAGTTTTCTCTAGTTATTTTATCAGTTGCAAAAGCCAGATCCTTATCCTTGTCGCGGAGAACCTAACGGGTTACCGGGGCTCCGGCTTGATGTGCAGGAGAAGGAACGGGGTGGTTTTTAGTCAGTAAGAGTCTGACACTCCCTCCCGCCTCACCCAGCCGGGAGCAGTCATTCGATGATTTTCCCCCCTTAAAAAAAGATCCTTATCCTTGACTATATAAAAACACTTGACCATTTCCAGAACACAAAAATGACAATGCTTTATCTACTGAATACATTGTAAAGTACAAAGTAAAAATCAATTAAGAAACATCTATAAAATATTAACTAGGAAAATTTCCAGACTGCACCAAGAAATAGCACAATTAAAATCAATAATGAAACTAGTCGTACAATTTGTACAAATTTTGTCTCATTTCGAATGTAAATCGAAGCGCAACCACTGGATTCCTGAACAATAGTTCTCTGTAATTATATTGTAAAACGATTTTGTCGCAACACCCCGCGACGACGCTGCGAAAATGAAAATTGGAACACAGATGAGCATGCACTAGATGTGGCTTACCAACCTTTACAGTCAACCATATTTATATGTTACATTTCAACGATTCGTAAAGTCCGCTGTTAGACTGTATGGGATCTACATAAGACTTCATAAGAGAGTTTGCCATAATCCCCGCACTTGACAGACGGGTAGGAGTTGGAGGTCGTAGTTTAAAAGGATCGGGTTTATCAGAAAGTGTTGTTCTGCCTGATCAGTAACATTTACAAGCTAATTTTTAAACTTATTCCTGACATAGCATGCCAGGTATTCCTGTTGTTATGTTAATAACAACACATCCTTTTATCCCCGAAGGAGTAGACAGAGGTGCACATTATGCCACTGTACAATGTAACATCCACTTTTCACTATTTATGTTATGAGTCTCATGTAAAAGGGGGTGAGCCTATTGCCATATACCGGACACAATTTCAAACTCCGTGCTACTACTGAGATTAAAAAAAAAACCAGTAATACTTTGGCCGACCTGGGAATCAAACCCGAGACCTCTTGCACGGAAGTCACACTTGCGGCCACTCGGCCAACGAGGCTTTTCTGACATATGACATAGATATAGCAATATCTAATAAGAAGTTATCACAGCTACTTAACAATTTAGGCATCTATATCCTTTGTATGACTGTGGCAATTCACCTTCAATAAAGCAAAGCCAAAAAAAAATGAACGAATATTTTTTTAATATAATCCGGTGGGTGATACATGTGGAATTTAATATTGTTCGTAGTCGAATGCTACGGCACATTTAATTTTCGCCAAAGCTGAAAATGAGATGCAGTAAAGCTTTTGTGAATTTAATTATTTTTCCACGGAACGAAAAGGGTAAATGAGAGGTGTATTTTAGGATGTTTTAACTAAAGAGGAATTAATTGTGTTCATTTACACTGTAAGTGTAAACACGTGTGTTTATTGCCACTTAACGGCAAGTGTCTGTCTGTTATACATTCATTGCAATAATGTTCGTATTTATCAGAAACGATTTTTATATCAATGATGATCGGAAAACAAAATCTAAATTAATGTAATAAGTAGCTATAATGATAACCGACTTATGATTTTACGTAATGTTGTCAGAAAATAATTAGGTATTTAAGCGGCGGCTAACGTGTTAAGGAAAGCAAAGGTTTTCTTTTAACTTTAATCTAGCAATAATGTCACGGATTTTTAACCGACTTCAAAAAAGAAGGATGTTCTCATTTACAGTTTGACCTATGTCTGTATGGTTGTGCGCATTTATCTCGCGATTGGCTGAACCGATTTTGATTTGGTTTTCAGAAAAGTGTTTGTTACACTTACGAGAAAGTTTTGGTATTATTTAGGCTACTTCAAAAACGAAGGGGTTAAAGTCGTTTGTGGTTTTTATAAACATAGTTTATATAATTTATTACCGTAATTGGAGCACATTTTTATTTTAATAAACCACCTACTTTTCATCAGTCTCGTTATCAGTTGCATGTAATAGAGAGTCAGCTTATTGTTATTTATCCGGCACAGATTCAGACTCCCGGCTATTCTTGAGGAACAATCCGAAATAATTAACATTAATTAGTTATCAAGTTTAATTCATTATAAACGTCTATGCGTGTTACTAAACAATACAATAATTACTGAAACTAATCTGTGCAGACAACAGCAACTGTTGGTACTAATTATTATATGATACAAAATATCACGCACTGTTTTCCAATATGTGGTTAAAATTTAATACCATATGCCAGCAGTACGCTTATTGGATTAGGTCGAGTTAATCCAGTTGCCTTACTTATTTATTGTACTGATAATATTAATAACTCTCATTCAAATAATTCTGATTTACTTATTTGTAATTGTGTGTAGTAGGTATCTACTACACACAATTACAAATACACAAGAGTATTCTTGTGTGTTCTAAAATAAATAGAATATTGTTTATTCTTGCAAATTCTAAACATTTTTTGTGGAATAAATCAGTAAACGAGCAGAGGGATCGCCTGAATCCTGATGGTAAGCAATCGCCGCTGCCCATGGTAACCTGAAACACCAGAGTTTAACAAGTGCGTTGCCGGCGTTTTGAGGATTAGGAATTGAGATTGGGGAGGGGGTAACTGGGCGTCCGGTAACCTCACTCACACGATGAAACACAACACATTTATGTCAATTTAAAATAGTTCGATTAAAGGGTCAAATATGTTAACTAATTGACTAAAAATTATCACATTTTCACACGTGGCAGTTTGCAGGCGCTACTTCAAGGTAATTAAACTGTCAAACACCAAGCGGTCACCGGTGACCGCAACCTATTGTTCTTTAATTGTGTCTATAAATACGGTACTCGACGAGTTAAGTTGATGCTAGTTAAAAATATTAATATGAGAATGTAAGAAAGATGAGTCTCTAAGCCAGAAATCACTTCATACTAAGTATAAACGAACGTCTGTGTCTGCCACACAAATGAAGATGACATAAGAAATATCAATAATATTTATAAACGACCCCACTTCAATAACAATTACAAATTACGACTTCAAGAAAAACATCAAAGAAAACATGTGAAGAAATACCAAAAGTAGATATGAATGCGAAGCGATTATTTACGTAGGGAAGCCTGTGTCACACCGCAAAACGTTATGTATCG